GCACAATCTTCCCCTGACTGGGATTTATGAAGGGATTTTTGCGCAAGGTCTGGTGTACGCATGGTTTCAAAAATCTGAAAACTTTTGTGCGTACGCAAAATTCTAGCTTTGAAGTTTTGAGTAATCCTGAAGACCATAATTAGCTGGTTCAAGTGTGTTTAATTAGAGTTAGAGGCTGAGCTAAACTCTGCAGGAAGGTGGCCTTCCAGGAGCAAGACCGGTCACCCTGCCCTAAACCTACCAGAAGATCAGAGGGCAATGACAGTTTAATGTTGTTCCAGGACCAATAAAGGATGCTGATCAAGAAACAATCTCCCACTTGTGCAAATCACATTATGGGAATGCTTACAGATGGATGGAAGATCATGTGATCACATTCAAGCCGTATATCACAAAATCTCTATATACATAAATGACAGCGAACCACCTATGTTCTCTCCCTTTATGTAATTTCCATCTAAGAAGCAAGACAGATGATTGCCCTTAAACTTGATGATGAGGAGGACAGTGGGATGCATCTGCAATCCATCCCACAGCGGGGGCCTGGCGGGCAGGCTAACTCCTGCGGTGGAGTGGGCTGATAGATGAAACCCTCTTTCCTGGCCTGCCACACGCCCAGACAGGGCGAGCTCCATGTGGGAGCAGCAGGCCCCATAAGATGACGAGCCAGACTGCAAGGAGGAGACAGGTCACAGTGGCCTCATTAACACCACCACAAATACACACACTTGCCAAGCAAGCAACACACTCAATCTCACACACTGCACTGCACTGCGAGGATGGAGCTGAAGTGTTTTTTGATCCGAGCCTTTGGTATTTCAGATGATGGGATTCAGGTAATTGTGTTTTCCCGGGGATCAGGGTCAGGGGAAATGTGAATGGCTCTTGCACTGTGGGTGGGATTCACCTGCAGTGGGATTTCAGCTTCAGATTTGCCCTGTCCAATAGCTGGACGGTGCTTGAAATCCGTTTCATCAGAAGATGTTCTTTGCATTACTCAAAGGGCAATTGTATCTTTTGCCAATTAGCAGAACAATCAACATTCAGAGAGCACACATACCTTGCCAAGAAATTGTATTTTTCCTTTGGGTGAACTGTGAGCGTTGCTAAGATGTTCCATAAAATTACATACAATGATTTGTAGATTAAAACACCTTTACATAGATTAGCTTATCATGTTATCAACCACAAATAAGTTAAAAAGAACATTCTGTTACGGACATTTACTTACAAGGTTATCAACCGAAAATAAGTTGAAACCCTTCCAACATCATCTCCAGAGTGTACATGATTGCATTTTTAACCACCTGGATATCTTTCTCACTAATGGCACACAAGCACTTTGTTGAACATGTTTCTTCACTTGTCTCCCATGCCTTAGTCTAAACTGTAGTACTTTGTAGTGCTAATAAGCACTATTTAGCTATGACCAAGGCAACTGTATTTCTCAATCTTCAAGTTGTGATGACATCTACTTTTTTTTTAAAGAGTAAATGGATTCTTTACTATTGCATTCCTCTAAGCCTCGCCGATTACCATTTGGTAATGCTTTTCCTTTCCCTTGCTGTGATGGCTAAAATCACAGCTTTGAGAAGTATTGCAGAGCTAGCTGATTGATATTGGAAGCATTTGCGGCGAGTACCCCTTTTTGGAATAGCAGGATTCCCGTTTCAATTTTCAAGGATCCTGATAGTTTATAGAGGCTGTCAGTAAAACCCAGCTCCCCCCAGTGCTGCTTTTTTATCTCATCAAACCAAGTAGGGAATATACTTCTATTCAGGGGAAACATCACCATTGGTAATATCCAATTTACTGAGAAAGGAATGAGGCAGTTGATGTGACCGTATAATAACATGCTACATGAAGCCTGGCAATATGTGAATTGAAAATGCATTTATGGTAAAGGAAATCTATCCAAAACCAAAGTAAATCAAAGCAATTAATGACGCACTGATGCAATCTGAAGAATGCAAACAAACACGCAAAATTATTCATGGCAGGAAGCGAAGTGTAGAAACAACCTAAGACCTTATCTGAAACTTCAATGATTGCTTAATAGAGAAAGCCAGACACAACTTTCAATCTATATAGAAAAAAAAGAGTGAAAGAATTACAGTGGCTTCCTTTACAACAGTCTCCGACAGATAATATCAATTGCTTGTATCTCAACATGTACAATGTCACGGCTCCATTCTAAAGTCTTACAACACTACAAACAGAATGTTTATCTTTATAATGCACTATATGTGTTGCTTGCATGGTATATACATATTTATCGGAAAGGAGTTGATAGTTACAGTTGACATTTGTCTTATGATTCTGAACATTTGTTTTATGATTAAACATATTCAAGTTCAACAGTTAATTTGGATGTCATGGAAACCCACAAAACCAATTGACTTTTCTACAATTATGTCTCACATCTCAGAAAAGTCACTTGGGAATCTGTTTTCGATTTACATATAGCGTCCGCCACAAAGATATGGTACAAGATGATAAATGTAACCTTGGAAAGTCCGGTGAAAAACTGCTGCCTCTTTATGGCTGCATAAATACATAACTATCTCTGCATGTTAATTTACACACTTTGTTTGCAATTCATTGCTGGCTGACCGTCCATCATCGCTGACATCAATTAAAAGCACTTTGGTGTTTTATGCAAAATCTCAAACAGGTTGTCAACAGAAAAGCAACACATCTGCAACACGTCTTTCATTTATATTGTCCACCATGAATTTATAGCACACACGCTAAACAGTTTAGTCAACCATAAATAAGTAAAGGCAACACTTTTGCTCATATCAGTTGTGTGGAACCACTAATAACAATCATAGGATATTATTTTTAGACAGCACCTGTTGATTACAAGGTAATTTTGACTCAGTTTGCAAATAGAATAGATAAAAAAAGGGCTTTTTGGTGGAGGAACTTCTAGTTACTCTTGTAAGTCCAGTGGATTCAGTTATTTCTGTGTAAATTGACTGCTCGTACATGTCTCTATCTGTTTCCTTCTGCACAAGTAACCAGGTTTACCGAGTTTACATGTTTATGATATGGATTGAAGTGTTATAGTTGTTCTTTATAATGTGTTATTCTGTTATATTGCTATTCCTTATTTTACTCTTTATATTTTTTGTGGTTGTTAATTATATTGTGATAGTTATCTATGAATGTAAATACTTTTTAAACTAATCATTTATAACAATCTATGAAAATAACTATATTTTATATAAAAATGTATTAATAATTTACTACTGTTAATGGATTTTTCATTCTTTCTTACAAACTAATTGATGACTCAACAGTTAATTGACAGTTATCCATGGAAAGAGCTTAAGCATTTAACACACGGTATTACTTTTTCTCAGTCCTTTGCATTGTGACGCAAAGATAATTATGCAAAGTTGAGTATTAAGGGGATTTGAATTTGACAAAGACTTTTCTTTTTCTTCTGTGGAATGAAATGTTCTCTTACCTTCAGAATGGTGGGACAGGGTCAGAAGGCTCACACAAGAGGCACCGATTCCTGATCCAAAAACAGTGATGCGGTTGGAATCACCGCCGAAATAGCCAATGTTCTCGCTTATCCAGCGCAGAGCCTGGATCTGATCCAAAAGGCCATAATTTCCTTTAGCAGCCTGGTCTCCTGTGCTGAGGAACCCTGTAACAGATCGAGGGCACATAGTGTTAAGAGAACCCGTAGCACCTGAGGATCCTTCTTAAGGCTCTCGTCAAACAAACTCATAGATTTCAACTTAATTGGTCTCATATTGTTTTTGCAATGGACATTAGACATTGCAGTGGACAATGGACGATACCTCACACTGTGCAGCTCGTTGAGGAGAGGTGTGCTGCAAATTCTTTGAGCAATCTGACATTTTGCCTGGTAGATGATAAAATGAGAGAAAAAAATTCCATAGACTCAATTTGAATGAGACACTCAAGGCATATCTTGAAACCAGAATATCATGGAAAGGGAGATTTGGCTTTAAAAGCTCAGAAACTGCACAGCAATGCACTTAATTTCTCCATATACCTTGGCAAGTGCATAGCAATGCCTTGCAAACACAACCACTCACATTTTCTTTTTTGCATTGCATTGCATTGCATTCCATTGAATTGCATTGTAATTTGAACAAATGTTAATATAATCATAAAGAAATAAAAAAAGAAAAAGACAAATAGCAGAAATGATAGCGTTCTGCTCTCGAAGGACATCTCAAGAAAACCATGCATCATTACAAAATAATAAAAGCAAACGTAGAACACTGTATTGATAGTGCATTGACCAATATTTGTAATATAATCATAAAGAAATAAAAAAAGAAAAAGACAAATAGCAGAAATGATAGCGTTCTGCTCTCGAAGGACATCTCAAGAAAACCATGCATCATTACAAAATAATAAAAACAAACGTAGAACACTGTATTGCTCAACCACATTATTGTGCTAAATCAGAATTTCGAACCAGATTTCCTAGCAGGGAATAGAGAAACAAGACTGAAACGGTGTTCATCTACATGTTGCCTCCCAGAAGAGCTATTATTAGCACTGCTAACAGGGAAATACATTTTCTGATACATAGAGGTTAAATGTTTTATCTGAATTGCTTCCTGTCTTCACTCCGACACTGGATGGTTAGCTTTGACAACCTGACATCTCTAGAGAGAAGGCCTCAAATTGCAGGGCTGGTGTTAACATGTGTGGCACTGTGTGTTCGTGCGTATGTGAGAGAGAAAACGAGAGACTGAAATAGAGAAGGGGAGAGTGGGCGAGAGAGATAAGAGGGGATTCACTAAACAGCTGTGCAACTTTAGCATGCAGCATTTCGGTGCAAACCCCTGCATCTTATTCACTAACCACCTGCAATTCAGTTTAAGCAGGCACAAAATGTGCTGTAGTGCTACACCATATGTAAATTAAGCCATATTTTATAGAATGTGCTATATTGATCGTGGCAAATGGTCAACATGGTGATCAAATAAAGCAGAAGAGCATTACAATCGAAGATAATTTCTCTCTACAATTAAGGAACCGATGAGTGATGGGTAATATCAAATATATTGACAGACCAATTGCATGTAATCTCAATTTGCTAGCAGTGGCTGAAAGCTAGAAAGTAGGAAGCCTGTCCGAATCCAATATTTGAACCTCCAGTCTGCTGAGTTGCCTGGTTGTATTCTTGACTTAGCGAAAAGAATAAAAGTGCCATCTTATGAAGCAGTTGAAAGAAATACATGAATTCATAATGCATGATTCCATTTCCTCCAAGAAATAAGTGTTGTACTCACAAAACATTCGCTTGGATTGAATTTCCTTGGGAGGTATCTTTATGCAAAAATGCAAGCGAGGCAGCTGCCTTATTTTTGGACACAGCTTAACATTAGCATGTTAGCACACTGAATGGACAGTGATTAAACAGCTCTTTACTGTATATCAGCAAACAACTGTAATGTAAAGGGAGTGCTGTTCCTACATGGACGGTTCTGCATGTATGGTGGAGGAAGGTTCACCATCTTGTTCCCCAAATCCATTTTTATTGTGCTTTCATCAGGAACAAATCAATTAAACAGCATGTAATATATTAGCATATCAAATAAAGCATGTTTTTTTGAAAGGCTGCTTCCTGTACAGAGGAGCGTGCACAGATAAAGGAAATAGGTTTAAAGAGAGCAGCTTTCCTGAACATCTCAAGGGCATTGGCAGACATTCTGCACTTCATTATGTCACTTTATATTGACGTAGAGCCGCACGCCGAATCAAATGCGAGTTAATTCACTTATATTCATGCAAAACACACCGCTGCATTTTGCTTCTCAAATGCTCGTTAATGAGCACAACCAAACATGCGATTATTTACTGGAAGTGAGATGTGAGACCTCACCCAAGCACACAACTAGATGTGTAAAAGAGCAGCAATTTTCTGTATTAAATTATAGTAATGTAGTAATAACACACATGTAAAACCTCTTGCATTCTTTTTTTTTTTGTCAACATCCCATTACAATGACATGTCTTTGGCATACTTTATAACATAATTATGAATATGGTTTTTAATTAATTTAATTTAATTTAAAAAATAATAATTTTACATTTGTTTCATTGTTATTATTATTAATTTATTTTATTTTGTTATACATCTTACATAAAAACACAACAAATGGTCTTAAAAACAAGTAGGAATGACTTGGACTGAAAATTATTCTATTTATTATAATAATATTGAAAATATTATTTATTTATTATTGGGGTGTTCATGATAAGTTGGAAACAAGATCCAGAACTATTACAGAAGATGAAGCAAACAAACCCACAGGCTACATTTAAAAATATATTCTCCATGGTTTGTGGATGCATTTTAATTGGAAATGTGGTAGCAAATATTTTCTTTGGAAAGCAATTAAGATTATATAAAGACGGTTTTTATGCATCATGGCTTTTATACAGGGCTGAAGTAGAATTTACAAAGGTCATACTGAGGTTGGACGAGCCATTATATTTGCTTTTGCTTCAATCTGTTATTGCCTGTTACATCACTTCACTATGTTTATGTTGTGTAGGACTCTCACAGAATTGTACACAAAGCAATGTAATCTGCTATCTGTACAATTTCAGCATCATATATGGCCTCTAGAGGTGATGGTACTTGTTAATTTGACGATAATGCAATACATAACAATATTATTATCCCTTTGGGAATAGAATATGCTTTCCACAGGCAATTTTATGCAGAAAAAAGCTCATAAGGTGACTTCCAGTATCAGTAGTACTTAACATCACTAAAGATGATGAAACACAGACACTCCTATAAGAGTTTTCGCTTTATCTACATAGTGCTTTTAACAATAGCTCTTGTTCACAAAGCAGACTGAAAGAGGGTGAGAGCTCTGTCTCAGGCCAATCCTGCACGTTCACATTCCACCATTGTAAAACACTTTTTGGCTCAATCGCGCACACAGATATCGATCGATGCGGCAACAATGAAATGACATTGAGCTGGTGGGAGTTGGGCAGGAGCTGACACTGGAACATGACCACATTAAATATACAGCAAACCCACTGAGATTTCCTCACCTTCTTTCATCACTAAAGCCGTCAGGCTGATTGCATGCTGCTGTCCATCCTATGCTTCGCCCTCTGTTCATCTACCCTGTCACCTGGACGGCTCATCAGAAAGTCTCATGCTTGGAATATCAAAATATTCCACTCGGTTCCGCATTTCATGTGTTCTCAAGAGCTCAAAACATCACATGCTCACCATTTTTAGAATCATCTAATCTATATTAGAATGGCACTATAGAAACGGCAAATGTATGTTTGTCTTGTTTCCCATAAAACTAAATAAATAAAATAATATTATATAGCTGCAAGTAGCATCTATCAGGGCCAAGCCCACTATCTGCAAAAATAATAACACATTATTTACATTTACATTACAGTTACATTTAGTCATTTAGCAGACGCTTTTATCCAAAGCGACTTAAAAAGGAGGACAATAAAAGCAATCAAAACTAACCAAAGAGCAACAATATGTAAGTGCAAATGACAAGTCTCGGTAGAACAAGAGCTTGAACAAGGAGTTGTGTTGCATGTTCTGAAAGAAAGTGCCTGATCTCCTAATGTTGTATAAATCAAATCTGCAGGACCAGGCAGTTTTAGCAATGTGATCGTTCAAGTGTTTTTGCAATGAAAGGTAGAAGGGAAACCGGTCTAATTATTCTGTATTATTCTGGTGATGAAATGGATAGGACACTGTCAAAAAATCTCAATATGCCAAAGCATTGCAGAGATGCAGCCTAAGATCCTTCATGACATGTTGCCATCAGAACAGTGGCCATGTTTCTCAAGATAAACAACTGTCACATCATGGACAATGATGGTAACTCAGACAAAGACACTGTATATTAATTTTAAGGTCAATCGGATCAATGGTTCTGTAGTTAGAACCAATTTTATGATTTGATGTTCTATAGCACCAACAAGCTGCCTAGTCCTGCCACTTTCTTCTTCTTCTGTCTTTGGACTGTAGTCAAGTCAAGTTGAGATTTATTGTCATTCCGCTACATGTGGGGACATACAGTGGAACGAGATATCGTGCCTCACAGAACCACGGTGCTACAAAAATACAGACATACAACAATGTAGTAAAACAGTATAAACCTATACACAACAGATTTTGACTATAAATATACTATATAAAAATGGTTACCTATACATAAACTAAAAAATACAAACTATATAAATGCTTCACATAAATACTGTATATGTGCAAAGAGAAACATCGGAAGTCAAGCAGCAGGCTGGGGAACAGTGCAAGATGATTTGTAGTGCATGAGCATGTAAACATACATATATTACTGAGTAATTTGTGGGATTATGTACACACAGCAGTGTGTGTGAAAAGTGTCTAGTGCGCATAGAGGAGAGTGTGTTACTACAGGTGGTTTGTACAGGTCCACTCACCTGTGTGTAGCACACTTCGAATTGCACAAAAAAAAGAAAGTTTGTTTGGGGGATGGAGGAGGTGAGATGGTCCATGTTTCAGGAGGTAGGGGGTTTGTGTGGGGTTTCAGAGGAGGGCGGGGTGATTTGAGTTCAGGGCTCTCACAGCCTGGGGGAAAAAGCTGTTGAGCAGTCTGGCGGAGCGGGCTCTGATGCTCC